AAGATCCCTAAGCAGATGAGACCTTGAGGGGGAGAGAAACTAATAGGAAAGCCTGTGTTGAGCAGTGTAAGCATGCATGGGAAGATTTTTAAAAAGCATAGAATGGTCCGCTGTCATGATAAGATAGCTGAGGCTAAGTAACCACAATGTTGTCTAAAATCTCTAAACGGAAACATTTGCTTCTCAGAGTCTACTCCTTGGGTCTGGACAAGTGAACACATTTCTCACAAAGGCCTCATCTGCATAGTGAGACCCTGTCTCAAAAAACAGGAAGGAAGGAGGAAAAGAGTGAGGGAAGGAAGGAAGCAAGGAAGGAAGGAAGGAAGGAAGGAAGGAAGGAGGGATAGATGGAGGGAGGGGAGAAAAAGAAAGAAACTGAAGTCCAAAGATGTTAAACAACTTACCCTAGATTGTATTGTTAGGGTAGAGCTGGATCTGCGCCCAAAGAAGTCTGACCCCTGAGTCCCTACTTTTAACTTTCACATTATATCACCCCGTGGTTACCCACTAACATCTTTTTTTCTATAAAAGTAACACCAAATTTGCAAACAGAATAGAAAAAAAGTTTACATTTATTCATGATAGGAAAAAGACCCTACAAATAAATTTAGCAAGCCAAACACATAACGTAGTAAGAAACTCTGAAAATGTTGCTGGTGGAGGGAAAAGACATACAGCAATGCCATGTTGCTGGCTGTGTTGGAAAGCTGTCGTATCTTACAGACTGATCCACAAGCACATATACAACAAAAGTCACAGTAGGATGCTTTGTTAGCTCATCTTCCCTTCTCCTTTTCAGTTGTTTTGTTTAATTCTTTATTCCAGACATTCAAACAATAAAGTGTTAGTAATGTTTAATTTACAACTGGCTTTTGTTTGGCTTTTTTGATCTTTCACAAGGTGATGATGTTTATCTTAGGATCCCCCAATTCTGGCCCAGTCTGAATCCTACAGGGTCTTTTGGACAGCCCCCACTGAGGTACAGGAAGCCACTGACTGCAGAGACTCAATTAAGCAGAAACACTTGTGAGCTTGTGCACGTGGCCCTGCTCAGCCCTGGGTAACTCAGACTCGGACTCTCTCTGGCTCGTGTGACCATCAACAGTGTGTGCTCATGTACAATTATGGTGTCCTCAGCTGCTGAGTGTCAAAAATTGGCCCTCAACTTCTAGTTCAAGGGATGTCCTTTTCACCTGTTTCTACTGCTTTTATTATTTTTTTCTTTAGACAGGGTCTTGCTGTGCAGTTCAGGCTGGCCTTGAACTCACAGCGATCCTCCTGTCTCAGCCTCCCAAGTGCTGGGATTACAGGTGTGCGCCACTATGCCCAGCTAATATTGCTTTTGAACAAGTAAGAATCTAAAATGTAAGATTTAGTAAGAGCCACAGTCCCGATCCTGACCAACACACTGAAATAGAACATCACACAATCTACAAAGGCAACAAGGAGTGACTGGATTATAATATGCACTCAATAAATGTCATTGAATACGTGATTTAGCACGGCTTCTCTAAACTTCTGGAGAAAGGATCTCTGCTTCTGTTAGGTTGTAGAGTTCATTTGGTAGTAAATGTCAACATCTGGATTTATGAGTGTCTGTTAAACAAAGAGGAAATGTGAGCTGTACTGGCTGGGAGGACCCTCCTGTCTAGTTGGCTGCAGTCTGTAGCTCAAACAACCTGCACTCTCCATCCCCATCCTTGGAAATTCCAAAGATCGTTTCCCTTTTGCACTGTACTTCAGTCACACTGGTAGCTGTTGCTGGTAGATTCTAAGGTGGCCCCATCATCCCCACCTCCTGGTTGTTCCCCTATGGAACCCCCTCCCTTAAGGTCAGGACATCTGACATCCATCTAACCAATACAATATGTCAAAAGAGATGGGATCTACATGATTGCATGTATGAGACTCTGTTACACAAGGTCATGACTTCCGTCTTGGCTTTGAAAAAGCAAGACATGATGATGTGAACTGCCTGTGCAGGTGGACACATGGCAAAGGACAGCCTGCATCTGACAGTCAGTAGGAAGTCGAGGCCTTCATACGACAGCCTTCAGGGACCTAATTCTGCCCATAGCTACATGAGCTTGGAAGTGGAAAAAAAGAGAAGAGGGGTGCATAGGATGTCATGGGCTCCAAAATAATGAAATGTCATGAATGAAAGGAGCTGGAATGAAACCAAGAGAAATAAAGTGAAATGAGAAGGACTGGGGTTTGAAAATAAGAAATGGAAAGTAATAGAGACAAGGAAAATAGAGAGTGGAGAAGAGTATGAAAAGAGAGAATGGAAATTAAAAGAATGTGATAAACAGAGCAGGTGGATCACAGTAATGCAGAGAGAAGAGAATGAAAAGGAGTGGAAAACAGTGAAACAGAACAATGGAAGAGGAAGAAAGAACAGAGAGGAATGGGAAGCAAAAGAAAGGCATGGGAAAACCATGTACAGAAGGAGAAGTGAGAGACTGCAGTAGAATGAAACAGAAGCCAATCAAACAGAATGAAAGTAAACAGGAAGACTGAAGAGAGA